ATGGTGTGTCGTATACACTTACCCATCTTTCTTGTGTGGCTGCCTTCTCTAAAATATACATATATACAAAGAATAGACACACTGAATTCTGCAAACCTGATTGACAATGCAAAAATTAACTTAAGACATCAACACGATACCTAAAGAACCAAAAACAGAGTGGGAACGTAGCTGTAGACAGCTGTTTTGCCCTTTTTGGGGCTCGTCAGTTTGACACAATGAATAGAGAGGCTCTGCCGTAAAATTCCTGCACACTCTGTTTTAAAGCCCTGACATGAACTCAAACACTCACAAAATCACGCCATATCACGTGTCCCCAAGAGGGCAAGAGTCCAAGTGTCACGTTGATGTCTCACATAGAAAATATAGGATGGACAAAACCAACCGTAGAAACATGGGCAAAACCATGCAAAAATGAACAGCAGTTTAAATGTCAATTTATTATATATAGATATATATAACTATAAATAGTTTTTAGGACAGCTCCAATTTAACCAAACAGGCGTCAAAAACATTTGACACACTTCTGACATACAGTCGAACCTCCACTAACCGCCTCCTCTCTACAACAGCCACTTTTTTTTGTCCCGGCAGACAAAAAAAATCCATACATTGACACTTGCTTAAAATCTCTCTACAATGGCCACCTCTTTATAACGGCCACTTTCTTCTGTCCCCTAGGTAGCCGTTGTAGAGAGGTTCATCTGTATTTGGAAACATTTGGTCGTTGGGTGCCCCTGAATGTCGTACACTTCTTTGTTTTCTTATCTTATCTGCTGGTGCAGCATGCAAAGAAAGTCGTGTCTGATAGCCTGGGGCTAGTGGATTTTGCTATTGGGCTGGTGAATTTTGTTTTTAACTTGCCCAACGGGTAAGTGCTGTTTTTGGGGGAAATTCAGATTACAGATGGATTGTAATCAATCGTGCCAATCAAAAAGGGTTTTGGGACTAGTTGAAATGACTTGTGGGCTAGTACATGCTAGCTACAGCTTGCCCAAATGGCAGGCTGTAAAACTGACTTTCTTTGCACCCTGTGGTGTCTTTGTGTCAGGGTGATTGTGGAAAGACTACTGATTAAGAGGTCAAAGTTATGTCTAAATCAAGTACTTTATCAGTAAATCACTTACTCAAAAGGCTTTTTTTACCCAGCTCTTCAATTATCTTTGCATAGTAGATTTGACTGTTGTTGCCACCCAACAAAGTTTTTGTCATCTTTTTGATATAATTTCTACTGAATACTTTTCCTAACTGTGATTGGTTTCATATGATACAGAACCAATCAAAATCCAATATTTTTTGAAGGAGGAGTCATGCATTGCATTTAAAGGAGCTGCCTTGGATAATTTATCAAAATTTAAAACGTCGGAACTACTACCGAACCGAGTGAAACGTAAAAATAATTGCTCAAAACATTACAAGATGATATGTATAACACAGCAAAAACAAAAAAGGGGCATGAATGGACAAACTGGAGAAAGATTGAAACGGATTACAATTGTCGTTTTGAAAACTTGTTTGCCTGAGAGTTTTTCAGAGTTCGTTTTTGTTGTTTTTAGCGGAGCTCTCGCGCGCTCAGCGCGCTCAGCGCAGCACCATGGGTAAGAAAATGCGGTAATCTACCCATCCGAGAAAATTTGGTAATCACGGGACCGTACACCAACCGCTCGAGAGACCGTCCGTGCGCACCACAGGCATACCAATGTAAAATAAGTCAACCAACAGGTATGGCAATCCAAATGCAACTCGAGTTTATTTTGGCGCGAAATCGCATAGCCACCCACGTCTTGTAAAACAGAAGCAGCTAAACAGTCAATAAAGACGAAAACGGAGAGCGGAAATTGTTTCTGTATCCGTGTTGTCTAAAGTATTAAGCTTAGATTAATTGTCATGTCCACAAATT